TTCCGATCAAAGAAAATCTCGTCAAAACATTGTCATTTTTAGGTTCGAATCTCCATTTGAAAAGTGATATTTACATCCATTTTCTCGATTTCTAAGAGATGTTAGGTTAAAAATACGGTGAATTTGGAGATTATAACATTTTTCAAACATTTACCACGCTTTGCAATTAGAAAAGTTTTCAAATGCAAGTGGAATAGAAGCAAGTACTTAACTACTGATTTCTAAAAAAGTTATGTCAAACCACAAATTCATATATTATTATGCGTGAGTTTACACTCTCGTATTTGGAAACCATCTTAAAAATAATGAGAGAAAAACAGTTTTACCAGTTTCTGCAGCAGACAAACAACTCATTAATTCCACAAGTGGGATAGCAGGCCCAGGCCCATTTACAGGCCCAGTAAGGGTCCAGGATCAGGCCTAAAGGTTCTTTTTTGTTTATCGAGCCGGTGAAAGGCGAAAAGAATATCTCACACGATGTCGTTTTTTCTTTTAAGCCCTGAGGTCTCTTCCTGAAAATTAAAAGTCGAACAAACGACCAGCTCGCACATTTGGATCGAAGAACACAATCTTTGAGAGAGAATATGTCGTCGTTTCTGCAATCGTTCCTCGATCCGAAGAAGAGCGTGTATGCACATGAATGCGGTCTCTACTCGTCTTCGAAGATATGGTCTGATCTCGATCTCGATCTCTCGAAACCCTAGTTTCTGCATCTGAATCGTTTTTTATTTGAATTTGGTGCTGTTTCGTTTGGTTGGTTTTGATTTTGTTGCGTATTGTGATTTTTTGTGTGTTCGGATTATCAGGCCTCAGGTATGATGATCTGTACGATCCTTATTACGAAATGGACATAAAGGAAGCCATGAATCGGTTGCCGAGAGAGATCATCGACGCTCGTAACCAGCGTCTCAAGCGCGCCATGGACCTCTCCATGAAGCACGAATACCTTCCGAAGGACCTTCAGGTACTGTTTTCCGTTGCTGTTTGTTTATCTGTTTGGTTGCTGAGAAAATTAGTGTGAACAATGATCTTAGGGTTAGGAAGCGAGATCTGTTTGGTCTACAGAAACAGTAGTCGGGAAAATGGAACACTGTTGGGGAGAGAGAGACAGAGAGGATCCTCTGTGACTGTCTCTTATCATCAAAGCAAAGATTTGTTGTTAGTTGATGAATTTGTTTTAGTTAATTGCTCTTTAGGTGTTCATGTTGTTACGGAATTAGATGTATTGACCCATGTACACCCTGTACTAGTTCGTTTGATGAACATATATACATGTGTTTAGCCTATGTGTCAAGTCTATCATCACTGGAGATTGTCGGAAAATTTTTATTTGGCAAAACTCATTTGGATATTAGTTTTTTTTTTCTTTTCCTATTTCCGTTTGATAAAAAAAGTATAAAGCAACTATTGTGGTTGAACTAAATGTATACCATGGGGATACCATTTTGCTTCGGTCTCCATGGATGGCCATTGAGACCGTTAGCTTCCTGCTGGATCTTATAACTTTTATCCATTTGGTTTGCAGGCAATGCAGACACCATTCCGCAGCTATCTTCAGGAGATGCTAGCTCTTGTAAGTCTTCTCCCTAGAATTCATGAGTTGATTCCTCCTCTATAGACGACACACTATTTTTGCACATTGAAATCTTGAAGATGGCCATGGCCTGATGTCTTTTTTCAGCTTCTGTTTCGTTATTATCTTGAATTATGCATTTAGAAGAACGTTTAAGTTTTAACTATGGAGATTTACTCTTGGAAGGAAAGACCAATATTATCACACTCTTTGGTGCCTTGCAGGTTAAGAAGGAGAAAGCAGAGAGAGAGACCTTAGGAGCTTTGCCCCTCTACCAGCGTACCTTCCCCTAAGCATCCCCTCCGCTTCCCAGTGGCCGTTTATGGTCCTCTTGCATAAACCTCCAAATCAAACACAATTGGTAATCTGGTAATTGCCAAATGTGATATTGATATCACATTTGGCATATGCTGGCCTGAATAAAACTTTGAATACAACTGAGTCATTGTATCAACGGTTTTTTTTTCTTTTTCTTTTTCTTTTATTGTTATATTGGTTTGGGAGATTGTCAAAGGGTGTCTAGTTTTCCCTCGGAGGCTCTCCTTGATCCTTGAAGGATGGATGTTTTGTTTGATATATGATTCGTCATGAAATATTTGGTAAGAGTGAGGTTTATGGTTTGTAGCATTTTTAGAATAAGCTGCGGTGGATTCTAGAAAGCAACGTCTTGGTGTCAATAGGACTGGGTGGGCGCGGAGACCCGACTTTCTGGTACGGATCTGGCTCGCGAGTCTCGATTTGAAAATTTAGGTGTTCGTTCATCGAAGAAATGAGCCACGGATTTGGCTACGTCGAGAACTCGTCCTTTAGATGTCGGGTGTACTCACGGGTATCCATCATGGGGTTCGTCTAGAGGTAGGGTTATATTAATCTTAGTTTACATAATTTATTCGGGGCATTATCAAAAATATCTTTATTTTGCTATTTTGATTTCAAGGCATACATGTCTCTAATTGTGATTTTGTGATTCATGTGACCAGAAATTTAATTTTGATCATTTTAGTCATAACGTTAAATTTATGATGATCAAATTTATTTATTATATTCATATCTTATATATCTCACTAATCATTTAATAAAAAATTTATAAATTCAATGTTATAACTAATATGATCAAGATTAAATTTCTGGTCATATGGATCACATATTTATTGATTATAACTGGATGTTTTGAAGTAAAAATAGCAAATGGAGATACTTTTGATATAATGCCAATTTATTCTTTTATTTTGGCCGTATGCTGAAAGCTTCAAACTAAAATATGTTGTCAACCAGATTAATCAGTTTAAAAAATTGCGTTACCGATTCGAAAATATATGATTCTTAAATAATTATTATAATGTATCGATATTATATAAACAAATATTTTATGATTGAATATTTTGTATTAATGATTAATATTAGATATGGATATAGTTAGATGAAACCTATTTGATTATTGTTTTATTTATTGATTTCTAAAACATTTCTGTCAAACCATAGAATTGCATGTCATGCTTTCTTTGAGTTGTCGCTTGCCTTATTTTGAAGCGATCTTGAAAATATGGAGTTACAGAAAACAGTTTGATCAGCCAAGCAATCCCGGAGATATCGGATGGTCACAGAGGTCTTGAATGGTTGTACATTTTGGAATTTTTATAATCTAAAAATAAAAAATTATCATTTAAATTTTTATAAAATTATTATTTTTAAAAAAAATTGGAAAATCATTTTGATAAGAAAATCAATAAAAAAACCAAAAACTATATTTTTTTAATTTACAAATATTATAAAATCCAAAAATTAAAAACCAAAAACTAAAAACTAAAATTCAAAAACCAAAAACTAGAAATAAAAAACCATTTTCATTCAGAATCTGAGTTTTCACTTACAGAGATGATTCCAAACAACAAATTCCTGAAGTCCGATAGCAAGCCCAGGCTCATTACTAGGCCCAGTTCAAGGCCCCATTCCTCTTTGTTTTGATGGGGCCTTTGAAAGGCCTGAAAAGAATGTATCACACGATGTCGTTTTGTTTTTCTTTTAACCCTGAGGCGAAAGGAGAACAAGCGCAGTTCGCAGTTTTGGATAGAGAGCTAGAAGAAGAGCCGTAACAGAATCGGTGAGAGAGAGAGAATATGTCGTCGTTTCTGCAATCGTTCCTCGATCCGAAGAAGAGCGCCCTCGCTCGTATGCACATGAATGCGGTCTCTACTCGTCTTCGAAGATATGGTCGGATCTCGATCTCGATCTCGAGAACCCTAATTTATGCCCCTGAATCGGTTTTTATTCGAATTTAGTGCTGTTTCTTCGAAATCAATCGGTCGGTTTTGATTTTTTTTTGTTGCTTATTATGAGTTTTTGTGTGTTCGGATTGTCAGGCCTCAGGTATGATGATCTGTACGATCCTTATTACGAAATGGACATAAAGGAAGCCATGAATCGGTTGCCGAGGGAGATCATCGACGCACGTAACCAGCGTCTCAAGCGCGCCATGGACCTCTCCATGAAGCACGAGTATCTTCCGAAGGACCTTCAGGTACTCTTTTCGGTTGCTGTTTGTTTAGCTGTTCGGTTGCTGAGAAGATTAGTGTTGACGGTGAGCTTAGGGTTAGGAAACACAGATCTGTCCGGTCTACAAAAACAGTAGTCGAGAAAATGGAACACTGTTTGGGGAGAGAGAGAGAGGGGATCCTCTGTGACTGTCTCTTATCATCAAAGCAGAGTCTGATTGTTAATTGAAGAACCTTGTTTCAGTTCATTGCTTTTTAGGTGTTCCTGATATTATTGATTTATATTTATTAAACCATGTAGACCTTTGTACTAGTTTGTTTGATGAACATATATTGGATACATGTGTGTAGTCTGTGTCAAGTCTATAATTGCTGGAGCTTATCGACGGAACTCAATTGAGTACAATTTTTTTTTCTTTTGGCTATATCCGTTTGATAAAAAGTGTAAAGCAACTCTTGTGATCCTTTGGGATACCTTTTTGGCTTCAGTCTCCTTGGATGGCTATTGAGAAATGCAACCCCTTACCGTCCTGCTGGATATTTTAACTTCGATTCAATATCTCCATTTCGTTTGCAGGCAATGCAGACACCATTCCGCAGCTATCTTCAGGAGATGCTAGCTCTTGTAAGTCTTTTCCCTATGATTCATAAGCTGATTCTTCCTTTATAGTCGACCCACTATTTTTGCATGTTGAACTCTTGAAGATGGTCATGGCCTGATGTCCTTTTTCAGCCTCTGTTCGTTATTATCTTGAATGATGCATTTAGAAGAATGTTTAACTATGGAGATTTACTCTTGGAAGGAAGGATCAATATTGTCACACTCTTTGGTGCCTTACAGGTTAAGAGGGAGAAAGCAGAGAGAGAGGCCTTAGGAGCTTTGCCCCTCTACCAGCGTACCTTCCCCTAGGCAGCATCCCCTTCGCTTCCCAATGGTCGTTTATGATCCTCTTGTCCTCCAAATGAAACACATTTGGTAATCTGGTAATCGCACTGGAACTTATAGCAGAAGTTGAATCCTTTTTTTGTTTTGAAATCATATGACAGTTCTTCAGTTGTGATATTGATATTACATTTCGCATCTGCTGGCTTGAATAAAATTCTCAGTGCAACTGAGTCATTGTATTAACTGTTTTTTTTTTCTTTTTCATTTTTCTTATATTGTCTTATGATTGGTTTGAAAGTTTGTCTAAGGGTGCCTCTCCTTGGTCCTAGTAAGGATGGATGATTTGTTTGATAAGAGTGAAGTTTATCGTTTGTTGCATTTGTAGAATAAGCTTTGCCTTTGAAAGGGAGGTTAGATGCTGCGGATTCTACAAGGCAGTGTCTTGGTGATAGATAGGGGCAGGGCTCATAACCCAATTTCTGGTATCAATCTGACTAGCGAGTCTGGATCCGAAATTTGGGTATTCGAAGACGAGCACATGTCCAGTGATGGCGATGACAAGAACCCGACCTTTGGATGTCTAACTGCGAGAACACATGCTCACAGTCACGGATACCCGTCATCGGATCTGGTTAGAGTTAAGGTCCCCGACAACCTCGTTTTGTCCTCCCTGCTCTACTCCTGGCTGGCCTCGCTTCCTCCGGCCCCCCTTGCCTTAGCCTTTGTCGGTTAGGTAATCTGTAGGGCAAGGCATCCGAGCATTTATGCACCTTAGAGAATAGAGACCCAAATGGTTCGGTTCTGATGATGGACCTTCCTATTTGTCTATACAAATCAGTCAATAAAAAAAAATATTCGGAACTACGGTAACTTTCTAATAGATAAATTCTACATCAAAACTATAATATTTAAAACAATTTTCTAAGTCAAAACTTTCTTTTCTATTATTATGATTTTGAACATCACACGAAAGAAATTTTTAAGGGTTTCTGGCCGAGAAGTAAACTATAGAAATAGAGAAATGAAGTAAACAAAACTATACACCTCTTGTTCTTCAAAATATTTGGCTATTATTGAATGTGGATCATCATAAAAAAAATATTATATAATAGTAGTAGTTTACATGAATTATATGCAGGCAACGCTAATAACTTAATTGAATAATGTGAACCAGATCATATTTGTATTTATATTGTCATAAAAACAAATCCTTCAAAATTCGAAAATATTTATTTAACGCAACTGTCAACTGATACTAAATTATATGAACATGGATTCTAAATCTTTTTAAGAGTAAAAATAAAGAAACGAGTGGACAAAGAGAGGAAGAGGTCCACAGACAGCACATGGCAAGCAAGCAGACTTCAATGAGTTTTTGGTACGTACGTGAAGTTATGCATATATTTCATATTTGGGTTTTATATACATTAAATTTATACAAAATATATTTGGGTTATATATACATTAAATTTATACAATATGGTAAGAGAGAGAGAGAGAGAGAGAGAGAGAGAGAGAGAGGGATCAATCAATCATGCACAAGAGAACATTTGCATGTGAGAGTGATGCTTTCATGCATAAATGAAGACACACTCTTCTGTCTTTTAAATTTGCCTCTCTGCCAGATCTCATCTTTTATTACCACATCCCACTCTTTGTCCCCTCCCCCTCCTCCATCTTTCCCATGCTTTATATATATTATATACCTTAGTTTTCTTCTTTTGTGGGATTAGTCGAATCTATACCACTAATTAAAATATATATATATATATATGAAATAGATAAAATCATATTATATATTATGGAATTCCCAAATGATTTTGAGAGTTTAACTATATAAAAAAATATATATAGATACGTATAAACATGTGTGCGTGTATATATATATGCGTTTTATTTTCTTAACATATATGCCTATTTTCTGCTAACGTGTCGTTTTTTGTCCAATGTTGCGATGATATGATGATGAGACGGTATTTGTCATTGAAACATCGATCAATCATCACGTTAGATTTCATTTTGGATATCTAATATTGTAAATAGATGATTGATCTATTTATGTACATATAAACTTTTTGTTGGTATATTTGGATATACTCTTTGAAGATTTTATGTACTTGTGAGAGATTTTTTTTTCACATACATACATTTTTTAATGTCATCTTTAGTCGGAGTAATGGGCTGGTTTTAATTTTTTTTTTCAATAGTTACAAGATAATTTAATTAATATCGGAAATTACATAAAATGGATGTTATGGATTTGGATTTGCGTGTTAGATCTCCTTTTAGATTTTTAAATTGAAATGCTGCTACAATAATGAACGACAAGGTTACAATTAATCCATAAAAATGGTCAGATATGACCATGATACAATAATTAACGATGAATAATTAATTAATTATAAGAAAATGAACTAGTGTGATGAAAAATGTTTTCGGTTATTAATTAGATAATAATCAAAATATATTTCATTAATCATGAGAGAGACAGGGCCACATTAATGCCGTCCACGTGGACAGTTCAGTCTCGATCTAGTCTTTTTTTTTTCTTTCAAAGAAAGGCAAGTCTTTTAATTTTGACGGCTGTCTCGTCCTTTTCCATCTTATCCGTTATCTCACGACGTTAATCTTTTGACGGGTTTGTCATCATTTTTTTTGGTTACGATGGGAAACCCCTATCCTACAACCCTTCGGGTCAGACACCAGACACCGCAACACTTCTCAACCCGTGGGCCGGACGAGAACGGCATCTGAACAGCATCGCGGACCTGAGAAAATCCACCGCCCCGTGCAATACCCGACAAACCACATGGAGCAGGTAAAGCAGCCTCGTAAAGCTGGCCGGCTAAGGGGAATACCATACAGGGCCGTCTCAACTTTTTTGGAGGTCCTGTACATTATACAAAATTATATCCATAAAAACTATAAATTTATATAATAAAAATAATATTATTAAAAATATTTAATAAAAATAGATAAATTAATATAATAAAAAATTATTAATAAAATTAATAATGATTTTAAAAATCATTAAGTTTTATAATAAAAATTATTTAAATATAATCAATAAATTTTGTAACGTTTTTCTTTATTAATGATAAGAATAATATTTTTTTTTTTAAAATCCATAAATTTAGGTTTTTTAAAATAAATACAATTCATTTTCAATTTTTAAATAATTTTTTAATTATTATTGATATATTTCAACAATTATAAAATCAATTTAATATTAAATTTGAATTAATAAAAATTTTACATTATAAGTAATTTATATAATATCATATTTATTTGTACAATAATATAATGTATAATAATTATATCAAAAAATTGATTGGAGTAATGATTTTTAAAATGGAATCCATCTGATGTCCCCCACTTTCCATAGGCATTTTCGGAGAGTAGCCTCCTTTCTTTCTTCGATCAATCAATGTTAAATTAAAATGATATTCTTCAAATTTATATTTATTATTACAATAATATATAATTAATATTAATAAATAGCTTTAAAAATGGGGCCCCCAAATTTATGGGGCCCTGTTCCGGTGCACTTTTTACACTTGCTAATAGACGGCTCTGGTATCATACCCTGGATTTCGAATCCACAACCTTTAGGTGTGGGTTGTCATTAACCACTGGGCTGGGTACTCCCCGTTTGTCATCATTTTTTGATAACTCAAATTTAGAGAAAAGAAAGTTCCACGCAATGTCCAACCAGATGTGTTATTGGACCGTCGTGGGTAATACAAGAAATTACATATAACAATCTCATTAAAATAGTTTATTAGGGGTTTGAAAAAATATATACTACATTGTAATTATTTTATTAGTCTTACAACACACGAAAACAACAGTCAACGTCGTTTTGTTAAAGTCGGTCCACATTCCCATGCATGCATGTATTTTTTTTTATTAATCTAATTTAGTCTTTTATTTTGGTCATACGAAGAAAGCTTCAAACTTCATTAACCCGTTGTCCCATTTTGATTCCCGAAAATCATGTTGACACTTGCTACATTCATCGCAACGCAAGTTATTGAAATCTTCGACATCAACATGATTTATTAAATATACAAAAAAACATGATTAATTAAATCATTTTCCGATATATAAGATAAGTTTTTATTATTTCATCTAGGAGGGTGGTGCGTGTGTGTGTATGTATGTATATATGTATATATGTATGTATGTATGTATGTATGTATGTATGTATGTATGTATGTATGTATGTATGTATGTATGTATGTACAGTGGCGGATCCAGAAAAAAATGTTTGTAGGAGCAATAGATGACCGTTTCGATATTCGGTTTAGAAATAGATCGGTCAAATCTTTCGGTTTTAGAAAAATATATATCAATCAGTTATAATATCATATTCAGTTCGGTTTGATTTCGGTTTTTATTAAAAAATGTATGCGATGTTTTATTAAAAAAAATTATTTTTTAGGTTTTTTAAAAGTTCGGTTTATATCAATAAATTTAGTTTTTTAAAAATAATACCGTTCGTATTAAATAAAATATCGTATTGTTCAGTTTTGTACGGCTCGATTATAAAATCGTACCAAAACGTTTACTCTAAAATATTATATAAACAATAGATAAAAAATTAATAAAATATACTGTCAAAATAATATTTATATTTTACTACTAAATTATGTGATTTTTAATTTTTTAAAATTTATCTATAATAATTTTATTTATAATTGTCTAAAATATATAATTTTCGATAAAACAAACTAAATAAAAATTGTAACTTTGACGTATTTTTAATTTAATTTATTTATTTTTTGTATTGTGTTTAATATTAAATTTGTAATTTTTTTAGAAAATTGAGAGATAAAAGCCAAAAAAAATATGGAAATAAAGATTAAGAAAAAAGCGTAACAAGATCTAATATTTAGAAAGAAAAAAATTAAAATAATAAAAAAAGAATGAGAGGAGAGGGGGCAAAACAAAAAATTAAATGGGGCCTCTGATATTTTTTATCAAAATTTTATAACTATTACAAATAAATAAAAGTTTTTTAGCAAAAGATATGGGGGCATGAGACACCACACCAATATATGTGGATCCGCCCGTGTGTGTGTGTATGTATGTATGTATGTATGTATGTATGTGTGTATGTATGTATGTATGTATGTATGTATGTATGTGTGGTGCATGTAAAACATGAGATGTTGATGTATATATAGAATCGCAACCTTTTAGGCAATTATATATACACGTACAAACATGTATGCGAAATCGCGCACAATGTAAATATATGTATGGTTGCGTAATCAAACATGCAACATAGAGTCTCATGCAATAGTACTGCACATACGCTTTCGTTATAAATTTATACGATTGGCAATTACACACACACACACACACATATATATATATATATATATATATGCATGTATGTGTGTGTATCTATGCACGCAAAATTTATATTTATTATTTATTATAATTTGTTCAATCAAAGAACAGCTGTGATAGATCGGTGATACTTTGCAGCGATCCATTTCTGTCGAAGCTGCAATGCAGAGACAATATTTGAATTTATTGACAATTATATATATATATATATCATTTGAGTTTTTGTGTATGTTTGTGCATGAAGAAAAAAAATACTATTTTACAAATATATATATATATATATAAGGGCACACAATTATTTGAGTAATCCAAAGAAAAACCAATTATGCGGCACTCACACACACATATATGTATGTATGCACATGTACACTTACACTGTCACGCACATATCCATATTCTGCATATGTGATATTTTTTTTTGATGAAATGTGAATTGGAATATGTGTCATATTGCATGTTGTTCACGTAATATTAGATGCTTGTGGTGTGTATGTATACATTCTATATGAAACAGTCCAAGCATTGCACATGAAATTGCACGTGAAAGAGGGTTTTTTATAGAAAAAAATATCTAACCTTCTTTGATTTAGATCGGGCTCTTTTTTCGTTGTGTATTTATTTATAACAGCAGTCCACATGTTATGTTGAAGAAATAATTCAATTTTTTAATATTATGATGTTTTTTTAAAGAAATAGATATATTAATAACAGGGTTATTTCCAATTTTAGATTTTATTTTTTATTGTAAAAGTATATTCATCCATTTTTATATCAAATACGATTCCAATATAGTTTTATCTTAAACAAATATTCTGTAAATATATATATATGTATATATATCCACTTCGAATTCTATTAGTTTGGTTTGGAAAAAGTTATGTCAATTGATTTTCATGTCAAAGACGATTTATATATAATATGGATAGATATTAATTATTCGATTTGATTATGCATATTCCAACATAAATGTATAACTTTATATATCAGACGATATTAAAAAAAACATCGTGGTAAAAGATGTAGAAATTTACGGAATGATATTTTTATTGATAAAGAAAGGAGTAAGTGTTACAAAATATTAAAATAATCAGTTTACAAATATAAAGATTACTGGATATCCTTTATAAAAAAAAAAGATTACTGAATATCTGACACAACCCTATCAATGTTACAAAGAATATAAAGTTCGGAAAGCATTGTTAAATGTTGGTTATGACCCTCAATTTTATAAGAACATGTATGTGTATATATATATATATATGTATGTATGTATGTATTTGTGTGTGTATGTGAAAAGATCAATAGACATATTATTAATGATACAACAACCATGTGCTTATGCTTTTATATTCCTTTGTCAAGGTTGTTCATGTTCATTATTTTTTTTTATAATTTCAAAATGGCGATATATATATATATATATATATATATCCTTTTTTTTATACCCAATGTCCTGTATTTTCTATGGTGTTTAAACTAAGGGAGTATATCTGGATTCCGAATTGGTTTCAATTCAATTAATTTTGGTTTAGTATTTTCTTATATTTTGATATTTGTTTATGATTTGGTTGGAAATTCGCTAATCTAATTTTAAAAGAAAATTATATCAGTTTGGTTTTTAAATCTCATTCAATTTTAATACGATTACGTATTATTTATGTTGTTTTTATTCGATTTTATGTAACAACGAAATGTCGATGGGAACTATATGGTGTGTGTATATATATATATATATTGTTCGCCCTGTCACAGTTTGCAACTTTTTCTCGTGCCTACGCATGGACCTATGTGAAACCCATGTGAGTCGTGGTCACAATCTACATTTTCCAATTATTTACCTATATATATATATATACACACATACACGACATGCAAAATGGATCACATAAAATTTCCATTTTCGTATCAATTAGCTTAATGAATAACAATAAATTATACTGATTTCAATTTTCTCCATTTAAGTTATTCGTACATGTAACAACGAATCATGTACACAAAATTTACGGCCATCCATAAATCTAAACTAAATTTGTATTGGGTATACGAATCTCTTTTCGTGACTTTTAAACTGCACATAGAAAACATGTGAACTCCCGAATTATATATAACTTGCAAAAATATCTCACGTACCGAAAACGAATATAATTCTTATTTATGTATTATTATATGATTGTTGGTTCTTTCTTTACGAATATCAAACTTACGTATTTATATGGTTGATATAAATTAATAATATCATGTAAAAATTTTCGTAAATTGTTCATAAATAAAACTACAAAAAAGATCATTGTTAAAGCCTAACCGATTAAAAAACGGCTCGTGACTCGTGAGTGTGTAGACTCGATTATATAAAATGCATTCGTATCACCAAAACTCGACGTCGAATATACAATACCACTAAAATGAAATTTAATATTTTACATTTGTATAAGAGAAATAAAAAATTAATATTAATCTTACATATCTCTAATAATAAAAAATAATATCCTCATCATTTTTTGGGAACAAAAAAATGATAAGAAGAAGAGAGGATATTAATTTTTCATCCTCTATTTTTCTTATCATAATATTATTAATATTTTTAATAATGACATTTTATAAATGAATTGTATGGTTTTATAGGGCTAACGGTATTAATATTCCTAATTACTCTCATCTTTTCCCTAACAGTGAAAAAAAAATAAAGAAAATAAATATTGATATATCAAAAGAATGTTTATTTCATTAAGACGTTTGATGGGAAGAAGATAAAATAAAGCATTGATGGATCGTTAAGCAAAGCAAGCTTGATCAGACAAATGAATGTGATGGCAATTCCGATATTACAGCAAAAATCTAGGGGCAGTTTCCTATTCGATCATACATATAACACGACTCGCCTCTCCCACTCAGTCCCACCTCTCTCTCTCTCTTTCTCCCTCATTTTTTTCTTCTTATTTTATTTTAACAGGAAAAAAAGAAGAAGAAAAGAATGAGAGGATTTGCAGTGTTGGTGTTGATTCAGTCAATCTTCCATGTCACCTTTTGCTTCGAAGATGGTAGGTTCTCAATGTCTATATATGTTCTATATTCTATACGTATACGCGTATATATACACACTCTACATATAGATTCGGACACGCATACAAACGACTGTTCTTCATCTCGCGATGTCATTGATAAGATTTTGATCGGATTAAAAGAAATGAAACCGTAATATTCATATTATTTGATTTCTTTTATGTTAGATACTAATCATGCAGAGAAAATAATCTTAATAAACCAATTTTTTTATTCTTTTCTTTTTCCAACTATAAATTGCGCACCAAATCATTTTTATTCATTAACCCGTCGTTAAATATATGTATTAAACTATTTTTGTTGGTAAGCTAACAATTTATGAAATGTGATGGCTTGCCAAAAATATGCAAAATTATTTATTCACCGCAATGTATATTATAACTTTAATAAGTGAATCATAAGTGGGCAGATCCCCACATGGTGTTTCAGAAATGTCTCATTAATGTTTCAATAAATTCTTCACCCTCCACCTGTCCATTGCATATATTCCATATTTAATATTTCGTATCACCTTTCTCTTTTTTCTGCTAAAACAAATATGTAATATTTTCAAATCAAACTATATATATATATATATATATATATATATATATATAATATGTGTTTACACCCATCAAAATTCTATAAATAAATGAATCTTTTGAAAATCAGAGATAAATCCATAATTTTTTTAAGAGAAAGTAATTGGGTAGTGAATTTTTTACTTCGATTCTTTAGTAATCGAAATTCTCTGGTCACGGTAAAAAAATTTAAGATCTTATTCCAACCAAAGTTTGATCTCGTTTCCTAATTTAATGTTACAACACGTATGATCTATAGGGCTACTACCAAACGGGGACTTCGAACACGGACCAAGCCGTTCGGACATGAAGGGGACACAAGTGATGAACTCCAAAGCAATCCCCAACTGGGAAATCTCCGGATTCGTGGAGTACATCCCGTCCGGACACAAACAAGGCGACATGCTCCTGGTCGTGCCGAAGGGCTCGTTCGCCGTCCGTCTAGGCAACGAGGCGTCGATCAAACAAAGCGTAAAAGTCGCCAAAGGCTCGTACTACGCCATCACGTTCAGCGCGGCCAGGACCTGCGCGCAGGACGAGCGTCTGAACGTGTCGGCGGCTCCGCACCACGGGGTGTTGCCGATACAGACGGTGTATAGTAGCTCGGGATGGGATCTGTATTCGTGGGCGTTCAAGGCGCAGGCCGAGTACGTGGAGATCGTGATCCATAACCCGGGAGTTGAGGAGGATTCTGCTTGCGGACCTCTCATCGATGGCGTCGCCATGAGGGCTCTCTTCCCTCCTCGACCTACAAACAGTCAGTCTTCTCTCTCTCTCTCTGTCATCCATTTTCTTTCGCTTTTAATTATGAACACAGAGTACATAAAGGGTTGGCATTTCAGATGGATATAAAAAAAAATTGATAACAGTCAGCAAGGGATTGAGATGATTAATTAAAATGTTAGGGGTTGAAATGAAAATGTCTAAAATATATGGGGTGATTTTTTCGAATTTTGCAGAGAACATATTGAAGAACGGAGGGTTCGAAGAAGGTCCCTGGGTCTTACCAAACGCGTCGTCAGGAGTTTTGATTCCTCCAAACATCGAAGATGATCACTCTCCGTTACCTGGTTGGATCGTCGAATCCTTAAAAGCCGTGAAGTTCATTGACTCCGATCACTTCTCCGTTCCTCAGGGCCGTCGCGCCGTCGAGCTCGTCGCCGGAAAAGAGAGCGCTATCGCCCAGGTCGTCCGTACGATCCCCGGCAAGACCTACGTCCTGTCATTCGCCGTCGGTGACGCCAGCAACGCCTGCTCGGGATCTATGGTCGTCGAGGCCTTCGCCGGAAAAGACACCGTTAAAGTTCCGTACGAATCGAAGGGGAAGGGCGGATTCAAGCGCGCGTCGCTGAGATTCGTCGCGATCTCGAATCGGACGAGGATCATGTTCTTCAGCACGTTCTATTCGATGAGGAGCGATGATTTCTCCAGTCTCTGTGGGCCTGTGATCGACGACGTCAAGCTTCTCAGTGCTCGGAAGCCGTGAGTATCTGCGGCGGAGACGGCGGTTCTCGCATCGATGTGCGACGGGATAACGGTACACGAGCTTATCGCTTCTCGTGAGAAATTGGGTTTCTCGGGTTTGTCTTTTAAACGTTATTGTTGTTCCCGGTGACACTGTTAGGATCGGAGGGTTTGGTGGAGCCATATGTATTGTGATTAATATAAAGATTAATTTATGATTAAGGTTTTTTTTTTCTAGTTCTAATTCACTGTTTTGTTGCTTTAAAGTTGGAATAACTTCGGGGATTAGGATTGAATGATTCTATTGTAATGACTGAATTTGGATTTGAAAATTTAATAATCCAATATCCCACAAAAACACCTGTTTTATATTTACAAAAAATTGGCAAAATTACTTTTAAACTATAAAATAATTACCCTCGATTCTTTAAAATTATAAGTATCTCTATATACAGTTTATTGACGAATACATAATCAGATTTGAAATTTTAATATCCGAGATATTCAGATATAAATTCAAATTAAAACTAAAAACTACAAGAGGAAATTTTATATTTAGTTTAGTAACAACAACATGGATTATGCGTCTTATCTTGAAACTACAAGAGGAAACACAGATGACGAGAAACGTTATGAGCCATGGTAATGTTAAAAAGAGGAAAGCTTACTCTTGCAAACCCCTAAACCCTATACACCTATTTGCCAACTCTGTAAATTCGAACCAACAGCTTTCCAGTGATTGACACCAGGCCAGTTCGATCGAATTTCGCAATTACCCGACAAGCCACAGCCACAAATCGACTGTTATCTCGGCCGAATTTGAATATCAGAATAGTAGATATAGTCATATGATTCGATGGGTTAGGTCCACTTAACAGCTTCATGGGAGGTGGACCAGCAAAAACCTCGCTTCTCTCTTCACATGTTCTTCTCTTATGCATGAGACCAGAAAATTAGAACAAAACCTTTTTGTTGATACAATCGAAGAGCAGAGGTTGGTGGAAAAAGTTTTAATCTTGTATCGCTTACTGCATAAATGGCTACTCATATGCAAAATGGTGTGCATCCACGGAAACAGAAACGGGAAGCCATACCTTTGTGAAACCTCGAACCCATCACACATCAGCTTTGGAGTTTACAACCCAAAGAGTCCAACAACTTCAGCATTGCTTGAGTTGGAAGACTTCGGAGCGTTGCATTTCCACTGACGCAAACGTCAAAAAATAACGAAAAAAATTGCTTAATTCCATTCGATTTCATATAATATGAGAAGATCAGGATCAGATGCTATGGGCCCGAGGTGTATTGGCATACGTTTCTCTGTAAGGCCAAAACAGTATATTATCAAAAGACTCCAAGGGCGATCTACAGTTTCATACTTACTCTGTTACTCATCAGGTAATAACGCCCATTACCCGAAAAGCCAAATTGCAGAAAGCTTTGAACACGACAACCTAACTGAAACAGCATAGCTTGATATTCCTGTAAACGATGATATAGCAGATGAAAGCTAAGAATCAGACACAACAGCATCTACATCCCACTATTCTCATCAAGCAACCAGTAGAACCAATACCAGAGGAAGGCATTGCTACAAGTTAGAGCGAAATATAGAACGGGATAAAAGAAACTATATGGGAAAAATTGGCAATACTTTTCTAACGATCGAGTAAATCGACAAACTTAGATTGGGAACCTGCTCTCAAAGCACTGCTTTCAAGCCCTGTAGAGAGAAACAAGGTCCAGCGAGAGACACCTGAAACAATGCCGTAACATCAAGCCAGGTAGAGAAAAGGAAAACGATAAAAGGTCAGTTATCTGGTTTTGCAGAAAAGGCATGGTATTGCACCATTCAGATGGGGAAGTGGAAAGCTGTTAACCCCAGCATCAGAGTTGGACCTCTAGAAGCAAGGTCCACAGGGTCTCCGACACTGTTCCTGAAAAATGTAGGGGAAGATCAATAATGTCCGAAGCGGCATTATCAGAATGATCAGGCTCCACTTAAGATCACATGATATGCAACATAGCATCATAGCTACATAGTTACAAGTGAAGGCATTACATAATAAAAGGGACAGATTGCATGTCCATCATTCACATGCGAACAAGGAAAATAGGTTTGCTGGATCTTTTTACAATATGGAAAGAAAATGGAATACAGTGAAGCATATGTAAACACACAAATGTGCCACTTAAAGTCCTCTCACAACAAAAGGACCCTCAGAAACTTGGTTTTTCTCAGAGTCTGAATGCACAAATTTTCTTTCCATCATCCAGAAATTACAGTAAAAAATATTAAGCAAAGACTAGCTACAGGAAAAAAACAGAAAACACCATAACGAGCCTTGGACATTTTCATTCTAGTTAAAATCTCCATCACATACTATACACAGATAGCAAATTTTCTGCTGTCTATACACATTCAATAAAATTCCTCTCCAAAATGAACAGTATACGACCGCCGATTCCTTATTGCAGGCAAGCATGGCCAAGAAAGAAGCTAAGGCTATGACAATAAGAATCAAAGAAAAGAAAGAATGAGTCATGATTGGTGCTAACAATTATGACTGCGGGTACCAGCAGATATCAGATTTCTTAACTCCATCAAGTGTTCATCATCTGATATATTAAGGGAAAGACGGAGATCAGTTAGTGATGCTTCTTGTTCCCAACTCAGGGGCCCAGAAGCAAATAATTCTTCCAAAGTACTGCGGTAAGAGTATAACTCAGACCTATGGGCCGCTTCAACATCTTCTGCTAAGGAATTCTGTCCTTCTCCACGTCCACATGAAGACTCCGTATCACTACTAGCAGAATCTGCATCTTGACTAGCGCCATCTAGCATATAAGCTGACATGTTACTCTTATCATAACTACCAGCGCTACAACTACCAGTTGAGGATGCATCACTGTCATAAGCACTAGCTTCTGTGGTTCCTGCATGAGCAAGCTCATTGAACCCATTTGATCTTACCCTGACCATTTCACAGCAACCATTTTTATGATACTTAAAGGAACCTTGCGAATGTATTTTACCCAAATTTTCAGGTTCGCAAGCAACATCATCTACCTTTTGCAACAAAGAGCAACGATAATGGTGTTGCTGACCCCCTATCTCAATTGATCGTAGCTTCCATGGGTTTCCTGTGCATGATTCAGCACACTCTGGCCAGCTAGAAGGTGATACCCTCTTTAACATTCTAGAAGATGCAACACTAGGCTCCCGGGGAAGAGGGTCGTTCAAAAGGGTTTGAGGCTTCGGATGATCTGATCCTGTCAGTGTAGAGGACTTCAAAGAGCCAGAAACCTGAGAACATGATCACATAAGAGTCAAGGCAAGGCAAATGTTCATTAATACATTTGTTAAAATTTATAATAAAAAAAAACACTATACCTAAGTGATCAGGAATTTTATGCAGATCACTAAATTGAAGAAGAAATTCTTGGAAATGGAAAAGTGAGAAAACATATGTTAAGGGTCAAATGACCAGGCAGGAAATTTTGATGGAGAAAGAAGAGATCTCAAAAAGTGTAGATAACCTAAATGACCAGAGAGGATATAACATATGAGAAGGAAAATTACCTTTCCAAACTGATTCCATCTCTCATCTAGCCAGAATTGTCGAACCCTTATGTTAACTTTGTGGACTTCAAATTCTGCAGACGCCCCGAGCAATCGAACCACATAATAATTTCCCCATGAGGCCCTAAGGACTGTGGCAATTTTCCAGGACAAATCATCACGAACCTCCACCAATTCACCAGATTCCCATCTGTCTACATTCATTTGTTGTGGAGGGCGCGGTCTAATATTCCTCCTTAAAACTCTCTCCATAACCCCCCTATCTTTGGCAGATTGGGAAGAATCCAATCTAACTCCGTAGGTGTGCCCATTACCCGAGATAATCTCAGCACATCGCCAAGCACCATAAGGTGCCCCGTCATTGCTGAATACCTCGACTTTACTTCCTTTTCTGAATCTCATGGTACTTTAGTCAATCAAAACCCTATTACAGGTATAATACCTGCAAAAGAAAATCCAAGTTATGAATGAACATAAGCTGACATTAACCAAGACAGTAGATCACACATTCTTCAGGATCTGACAAGACATAGAATTTTAATGTCTGTTCTCCCTGCAAAACTAGGCCACTCAGACTTCAGCCAAACTAAATCTAAAACCGTACCGTATAAAGTCTACGGTTACGTTACGGTATTCACTGGCTGCGATGATCAAGAAATCGAAATAAAACAAATCGAAAACAGATGCAAACAAAGACCAAAGGAAGGAAAACAGAAAACTTCATAACCATGCATCAAAATCCAAATATTGCACAACGTTAACAGGATTTTTTTTAACAGGATTTACAAGAAAAAGTAAGATGAATCCAAACTCAGTCCCTGGAAATTATAGCAAAAGTTTCATCAAATTTTCAATGAGGAACAACTTCCATAACACAGAAAACAACTGAAAATTCAATTAATCACCGGAAAATCTCGATGGAAGATCTTTAAACAGCGTAAACACAAACCATAAAAAAAAAAACAACCAAAACCAAAGGAATTGCATATAAATGTACCTTTTCTAATGACTGAAACAGGTCCGATCGCCAAAAGACGATAATTTGTTGCCGAAGTTCTCCCCGAGATGGTGATCGCAATATCGGAA